AGGGCTGGGTGCCCAGCTGTGGGGCCAGGCGGGAATTTGGGTTCAAACACCAAAGTAGCAGGTCTGTGCACGCAGGCGGCTGGGATTTAACCTGGACCTTGGAAACCAGCCAAGGCCAGAGACCTAACTTTGGGCTAAGTACCTTTTGGGGGGATGAGGAGACAGGTCAGAGATGAGGAGGAAGAGTGTCTGTGTCCCCAGGAGCTGGAAAATTGCTGCCAGGCTTGCCAGAGAGGATATTAAAAGCAGGCTGTGTTGAAACCACCCCGGCTCAGTTGCTGAAAACATCCTGTTTCCGCAGCTCTGAGGTGGGTCACGGTATTTTTGGCAGTTTACTCATCCTCTAACCCCTTTCCATGGAGCGCGTTGTGAGCTGCAGGACACCTGCCCAAGCCGGCTTCAAAGCGATGCCTGGGAGAGCTGCTTAGTTGAAAACACCCGGCTCGCACACGCATGCGCTTTCCTTTTGGGAATTTTTCTCCTTTTCCATGGGCAGGCTGGGAAACAGCAAAGCAAGCCAGGTAGAGCATCCCTGCTCCATGTTGCTGGCCCTGGGGTGAGGGGATGCCGGCAGCAGAGGGCACGGACCAGGGGCACGGTCCCCCAGTCCCCAGCATCATGGTGAGAGCTGCTTTTTGAGGAGCAGCCGGGATATCACAGCTCCATATCCCTCTCCAAAGAGCATCAGGTCTGGAAATGAGCTGGACACCACCACATGCTCTGGGTGGGACAGTGTCTGCTCCTGGTAGGACCTGCTCTGAGCAGGTGCCTCACGGTACCCGTGGAGGGACAGGAATGGCACCAAGTCAGTGATGTTCCTCTTACAGCACCGTGGCCAGCCCTTCCCAGCTCAAGGAGAAGGGGAGAGCAAGTCTACTTCCCTAAACACCCTGTTTTTCCATGCAGCATCCCCTCTGATTGGAGACTAGAAATGCTGGGCAGAAAGTCTCGGCTCTAGCAAGCTGGTGTCTGGTGTCCCGTAGCACAAAGTGGGATTTTCCATAGGAAAACCAAGCCTTCCACTATTAATGGTGCCAATGAATATCCACTTCTGGTTCCCCGAGGACAATCAGCTCCAACATTGAGGTTTCAGCCACAGACACTTGAAGCTGAGGACCATCAGGATTGTATCCCTGGGCTCCATGTGGCTCCTAGCCTGGATGTGGTCTCCTCCCCCTTGTTGCAAGACCACCCTGTGCCTGTGGCTTTCCTTGAGGTGATAAGCCAGCTTTGGGCACCCGCAGTTGGCACAGCTGGCTCCATCCTCCAAGTCAGATCCATCCAAAGCCAGAGGCTTGGCTTAAAGTTCAAGACATACAGAAAGCAGTAATGAAAGAGATGACTTTTCTCTTAATTTTGCATTTTTACCAGTTGGAGCGACTCCAGAGGAGGCCATGGAGATGCTCCGAGGGCTGGAGCCCCTCTGCCATGGGGACAGGCTGGGAGAGTTGGGGGGTTCAGCCTGGAGAAGGGAAGGCTCCGGGGAGACCTCAGAGCCCCTTCCAGTGCCTGGGGGGCTACAAGAAAGCTGGGGGGGCTTTTCCCAAGGGCAGGGAGTGACAGGACAAGGGGTAACGGGTTTAAACGGAAAGAGGGAGATGGAGATGGGACATCAGCAAGGAATTCTTCCTGCAGAGGGTGGGGAGGCCCTGGGACAGGTTGCCCAGAGAAGCTGTGGATGCCCCATCCCTGGGAGTGTCCAAGGCCAGGCTGGATGAGGCTTGGAGCAACCTGGTCTAGTGGAAGGTGTCCCTGCCCATGGCAGGGGGTGGGACTGGGGTGGGCTTTAAGGTCCCTTCCCACCCGAACCATTCTGTGATTCCATGATTTCTTTTCCAAGATTGTAGTCCACAGCCGGTGGCTTAAGGTGGTTTCACTGGGGTCCTACTGAAAGCTGAAATCCTGCCAGTCACAGGATTCCAGGAGGTGGAGCTTTGAAGATGCCCGTGAGCCTCCAGCTCTCCCGGCCGTCAGCCAATGCCATAATGTTATTGTTATTGCTGGAGCTGGTTTTGGGTGAGCAGCTGTAGCTCAGCCCAGGACAAGAGGGCCTGTCCCGAGCTCTTTGCACAATTCATGGCATCCCTCGCTCAGGGTTTCACGGGCCAACAACAACATTAAAACAATGTAATGCAAGAAATAAGTGGGAGAGGCTTCAAGATTCCAGCAAAACCCTCTCTGTCCCTTCCCTAGCCCAGGAAGAAATCTAAATCCACCCTTTGCAAAAGACACGGGCTGCCTTCATGGTGCTGGCATCACCGCAGCTGGAGTAAACATGAAACCCCTCACCCCCCCTCCAGCTGCCTGCAGCAGGAAGGGCACAGAAAATCATCCCAAAGGGATGGTGCGGGGGCAGCGCTCAGCCCTGCCCAGCAGCTAGCGGAGATTTGAGACTGGAAAGGGGGTTAAAGCAGGAAAGGAGGTGAGTGGGAAGTGAGAAGCTGGTTCTTGGTGGTGGTATTTCCCACCCGCATCCTCTGCGGCACCCATCCAAGCCCCCCCACCCAGCAGAGCCCCTCACGGGATGGTACGGGTGCAAGGGGGGAGTGCTGGGACCATGGGTTAAACCAGGCATCTTCCCAAACTGCTTCCAGCATGACAAGGGGGAAAACAAGCCGGCGGTGACATGGACCACATGGGATGTGTATGCTGGGATGAGCTGGGGCTGGGAGCAATTAGGGCATTTGAGAGTGGCTTTCCCATCCCTGCACTCACCAAAAGGCCAGAGGGGGGAGGCAGGAGACTTCCTGGCACATGTGGGATGGGCTGTGCAAGGATAACATCCTCCCTGCATCTCCATCGGTGATGGAACCAGGACTCATCCTTATCCCAAGCAAAACTGGGGGGTTGGTGCCAACTCAACACCCATGACCTAGTGATGGGAGTGACTTCAGCCTCAAACAGGGAGCTCCTGCGCCTGACCATCCCCAGCTCATGGTGTTTGGATCTCACCGTGACTCTAGCCTCAAAGCTTAAATCAAAACCGCTCCAGATGTGCAGTCATTGTCCCCAAGGAGCTGGAAGAGGGGCACTGAGACGATACCACCGCTGCAAACTGAGGCAGGCATCACCTCCCTGCCCCGCTTCTGCTGTATCCCATGTTTTTCTCCTTTGGATGGCATGGAAAACCCTCCAAAACTCTTCAACAGAGGCAGCAGAAATGTGGTCCCATGGCCAGACCCAGCTCCCTGAGCTCCTGCACAGGGGAGCATCGCCCTGGGGTACCACTGCACAGAGAGGACCCAGGCCCTCACCTGCAAGGATGAAGACTCCAACGAGGATGAGGAAGACGAGGAGGTAGAGTCCCACCACAGCGTACTTCAGTGCCGCCACGGAGCCCAGCCGGCTGCAGCGTCCTGCTGCCTTCATCCTCCGTCCAGGACCTGGGGAGAGAGCGGGGTGTCAAGGAGAGCAGCAGGCACCCAGTCCGCCTGGGCTCCATCTCCCACCAGGAGAAAATATAGGATCATTTTGTTTGGAAAGGACCTTTAAGCCCATCGAGTCCAACTGTTAACCCAGCACTGCCCAGCCCCCACTAACCCATGTCCCTGAGCCCCACATCCACACGGCTCTGAAAGCCCTCCCAGGATGGTGACTCCTCCCTCCCTGGGCGGGCTTTC